GAAGAAGAAGCAGAAAAAAAGAAGATAATGACAACGAATAAAAAAATAGAAGAAAAAAGAAGAAGATAGGATCACTACAGAAGAATAAAAGGATAAGAAAACAACCACTTAAAAAAAATTATAAATAAAATAAAAATAAAAGCAAATAAGAACTAATTTTAATGTGAGGTTTAGTGTGTGGGGGAATTATAATGTGGATTTGGGTTTAGGGTGTAGGTTCTTTAATTAGGAGGGGGGGGTTTATAATGTGGGTTTGGGTTTAGGGTTTAGGGTTTATATTGATGGGTGTAGGGTTTAGTTTCTGGTGCATTTTTAAAAATTTGAATTATTATAGAAGTATATCAAAATTAAAAATCACTGATTATAAATTTATATCTACCATTCTAAAATACACTCACAAATAGAAAAAACTAAAACAATTAAAGCAAATCCATACTCAAAAGATAACAACACAAATTAAATAGATTTTTAAAAGATCTCGACTATATAAAGATAAAAACTATTTCACGAATCCTTGAAAATCTAAACTATCGAATGAATTGATAAGTGAAATATAAGACGTAGACAAGAAGGAATAAAAACACGAGTAGAATAAAAGAAGACGGTGGATAAGAAGATGAGAAACTTCGAGAAGAAGAAGAAAACAAAGAAGAGGAAAAAGAAAACAAAGAAGAAAAAATGAAATGTGAAGAGAAAGAAGACAAATAAGAGATAAATAAAAACTAGAATAAGATGATGTTAGAGAAACGAAGATGATAAAGATAGAGAGAAGGGGAATGAAAGAAGATAAACCGGAAAAAGAATGTAAAGAAAATTAGAAAGAAAAAGAAGAATAGTAAGTTGGAGGATATGAAGACACAAGAAAGATTGAAGAACAAAAATTGGAAAAAGAAGAAGCAAAAAAAAAGATGATGAAAGAATAAAAAAATGGAAGAAAAAAGAAAAGATGGGATCACTGAAAAAGAATAAGAGGGAGAAGAAAACAATCATTACAAAATTTAACTAATTTTTTTGTGCTTTCACAATTTATAAGTTCATATCAAATTAACAAAATGTTAAGCTATTACTTCCTTGGAAAATAAACACATTACAAAAATAAGAAAAGTAATTAAAAAGAAAATGCATTAATCTAATATTAATTGAATTTGTAATTAACAAAATCTAGACTATCGAATGAATTGATAAGTGAAATACAAAACGTAGACAAGAACGAAAAACATGAGTAAGAGAAAAGAAGATGATGAAAAGAAGATGGGAAACTTCGAGAGGAAGAAGAAAACTTGAACACGAGGAAAAAGAAATCAAAGAAGAAAAAATGGAATGTGAAGAAAAAAAGACAAAGAAAAATAAATAAAAACTATAATAAGATGATGTAAGAGAGAGAAGATGAATGAGGAAGAAGAAAAATCGGAAATAGAATGTAAAGAAAATTAGAAAGAAAAAGAAGAATAGTGAGTTGGAGGATATGAAGACACAAAAAACGATTGAAGAAAAAAATTGGAAGATTGAAGAAGAAGCAGAAAAAAAAAGATGATGACAACGAATAAAAAAATAGAAGAAAAAAGAAGAAGATGAGATCACTAGAGAAGAATAAAAGGGATAAGAAAACAACAATTACAAAAAAAAATTATAAATAAAATAAAAATAAAAGCAAATCAAGAACTAATTTGTAATGTGAGTTCATGTGTGCGGTTCAAGGGGGAGTTATAATGTGGATTTGGAGTTTAGGGTGTAGTTCTTTAATTAGGGGGAGAGGTTTATAATGTGGGGTTGGGTTTAGGTTTAGGGTTTATATTGATGGGTGTAGGGTTTAGTTTCTGGTACATTTTAAACTTTGAATTATAATAGAAATATATCAAAATTAAAAATCACTGATTATAAATTTATATCTACCATTCTAAAATACACTCAAATAAAAAAAACTAAAAAATAAAAGCAAATCCATAATCAAAAGATAACAACACAAATTAAATAGATTTTTAAAAGATCTCGACTATATAAAGATAAAAACTATTTCACGAATCCTTGAAAATCTAAACTATCGAATGAATTGATAAGTGAAATATAAGACATAGACAAGAAGGAATAAAAACACGAGTAGAATAAAAGAAGACGGTGGATAAGAAGATGAGAAACTTCGAGAAGAAGAAGAAAACTCGAAGAGAAAAAGAAAACAAAGAAGAAAAAAAAAATGTGAAGGGAAAGAAGACAAATAAGAGATAAATAAAAACTAGAATAAGATGATGTCAGAGAAGACGAAGATGATAAAGATAGAGAGAAGGGAGAATGAGGAAGAAATAAACCGGAAAAAAATGTAAAGAAAATTAGAAAGAAAAAAAGAATAGTAAGTTGGAGGATATGAAGACACAAGAAATGATTGAAGAACAAAAAGGAAAAAGAAGAAGCAAAAAAAAAGATGATGACAACGAATAAAAAAATGGAAGAAAAAAAAATATGGGATCACTTAAAAAAATAAGAGGGAGAAGAAAACAATCATTACAAAATTTAACTAATTTTTTTGTGCTTTCACAATTTATAAGTTCATATCAAATTAACAAAATATTAAGCTATTACTTCTTTGAAAAATAAATATATTACAAAAATATTAAAAGTAATTAAAAATAAAATGCTATTAATCTAATATTAATTGAAATGACTGGAGTTCTAAAACCTCTCTTGCCCGCGCAGGCGCGGGCCAAACACCTAGTACAAAAATAATAGTTCCACCCACAAATTTTACAAAAAAAAATATTATCTTGATCATATTAGAACATACAAAAATATATAAAAGATGGTAATAGATAATGAGTTCAATTTTTAAAAATATAGGCCTCAATATCAAATTCTGAAAATCTGGCCCAAATGATTTTACAATTTCTCGGACATTTATCGGAATTTTGCGGTTAAACTGGTCAAACCACGGTTGACCGTTTTTTGACACAGATTTTACCGTATGGCTATGGTTCCCTCCCGGTTTACGATATATCGGCCAGTTTTTGTCACTTATCGCCGATATTTTGAACAGAGAGTAATAGTGACATGTGAAATCTTTTGCTTGGTTTGAGTTAATATGTCATACACTAAAAAATCGTGTTCTTTCTTTCTTGGCCTTATGGTAATATGGTTTGGCTTCGGTTTGCAGATTCATTACTAGGGGTTCATGCTTCTCTAGACTGGAAATTCAATACTCCGTGGGTAGCGAATAGATTACAATTGGTTATAACTTCGATTAATCAGATGAAAATTCAACTTCCTGCACTGATTAATGCATACAGTCATTATTTATAAATCTACTAAACTTTTAGTCTTTAGAAGCAGATATTATATTAGGGCCTCACTGGTTTAACCGCTGCATGCAATAGCGGTTAAACAATAAATTAATAATATAAACACATTATATAATTATAAAAATATCAAAACTATATTATAATGAAAATTTTAAATTTATGGTTCAACATAATTAAAAATAATTTTTTTATAAAGAATAATATGTGTATAATACTTACGTCTATTTTTTAATTTCTATAATTTAAATAAAAAATGTGATTTTATTTTCAAAATATATATTTAATGTGAAAATTAAATTTATATTACAATTTTATTTATTAGATATATATGTATTACTATGAAAAGAATATTTATCAAGAGAATTTTGATTTATAACTTATAAATATATAAGTATGATATGATTTTAATGAATATTGACTAAAAGTACTAATTTTTTTTTTATATTGTGATTTTATTATCCGAATCTTATTTTTTAATAAAGATTATTATTTATTTTCGGATTTTATATAAGTTTGTGTTTTTTTTTTTTTTTAAATTAATAACGCTTTATACCGCTTTAAACCGCTCAAGATCCCTCAACAACCCTCAAAATCAAAAGCTCCTTCCCAGCAGCGTTTGCGGTTGCGGGCGGTTGCGGGTGGATAATTAAAAAAAAAAAAAAACACAAACTTATATAAAATCCGAAAATAAATAATAATTTTATTAAAAAATAAGATTTGGATAATAAAATCACAATATAAAAAAAAATTAGTACTTTTAGTCAATATTCATTAAAATCATATCATACTTATATATTTATAAGTTCTACAAATCAAAATTCTCTTGATAAATATTCTTTTCATACTAATACATATATATCTAATAAATAAAATTGTAATATAAATTTAATTTTCACATTAAATATATATTTTGAAAATAAAATCACATTTTTTATTTAAATTATAGAAATTAAAAGATAGACGTAAGTATTATACACATATTATTCTTTATAAAAAAATTATTTTTAATTATGTTGAACCATAAATTTAAAATTTTCATTATAATATAGTTTTGATATTTTTATAATTATATAATGTGTTTATATTATTAATTTATTGTTTAACCGCTATTGCATCCGCAAGTGAACCAGTCATAAGTATCCCGCAAACGCATCCATTTTCAATTGTTATGCCAGTCGTACAAACCGCTTAATAACGCTACTAATCACAACCGCCCGCTTCCGCAAACTCCCGCACCCGCAACCGCAACCGCAGCGGTTAAACCAGTCAGACAGTCTCTATTTTTAAATTGTTGATCTACAAGACTACAACATTGCGAAAAACAAAAATTGTAAAAAAAATTATTCTTACTATTTGTTTACCCGTGGCCATACTAGTAAATTGGTAAACAAGAGTTGTATAGTATTAAACTATTAATTAGTAGAGATAAAAGGTAATTCCTAGTCAGAAATGGAAACGGAGAAAAAGGCATTCAATCTCTCTTAAAACAAATTTGGAAAGAAGAACTGCCTATTTGAAGAATCATCGGGACAATAGAGCGAATCAAAAGACAAGTTCATCAAGTCTTGTTTCTCGAATCTCGTTGGAGAACTCAATCACAAATCGTTAATACATGGAATCGATAAAGGGGAGATGTGCGATTCGGGGATGTAGTCAATTGGAATCGGAATCGGAGAATAAAAGGAGGAAGGTGTCGTCGTCGTCGTCTGGGTTATGTTCGTTGCCAGATGCGGTGGCTCTGAGCTGCATGGCTCATGTCTCGAGATTGGACCTAGCGGCGTTAGCTACCGGTCTCTGGTAGTTTCCCCAGAGCTCCGGCAGTTGAGATATGAGATGGGTTGCTTCGAGGCATGTCTCTACGTCTGCTTGCGCATCTTTCCCGAACGAAACCCACGCTGGTTCATCCTCCACCCATTGCAACGACGCCTGAAAGCTCTCCCGGTGTATCATGCTCCAGAATCATCATCCTCTTTCGTGACGTTGGGTCTTGGGGTCTATGTTATCGGTGGGCTCGTCAACGGCAAACCAACTTCCGATGTATCGTATTTCGATTGTTACGAGCACACAATGTACTCGATGCCGCCCATGAAGATGGCTCGTGCTTCCGCTTCGGCAAGACTGATAGACGGCAAGATATACGTGTTTGGAGGCCTCGGGGTTGATGAGGCTGAGGCTGATTCCTCAAACTGGGCAGAGGTATTCGACGTAAAGACCAAAACTTGGGACTTGTCGTTTGTGTTCACGCCCAAGATGCCCCTCAATATCCAACATAGCGTGGTGATAAACGAGGAGAAGAGGGTTTTCGCGGTGGATAAGGATGGGCAAGACTTCTCCTTCTCGCCAAGTAAATCTATTTTTTGAACAAATGGAAAATTCGATTCTGATCCAGGAGGCAGGGACGATTGGTGTGTCTTTGGGACAATATTATTATTGGCATCAATGTCATATCACGTTGATAAAGGAGTATAATTAATACTATCTTGACTGAATATTATCTCATTACGTGTGAGTGTAATACTTTAGGAAAGTAGATACGTTTGTATGAGTATATATGTATGTCGAGACACAAGAACAGAGATACAGAAAATTCTTCTATTCTTCTTCTCTTCCTCTGTTATCTTTTATGGTATCAGAGCCTGAACTATTTTTTTTCTGAAAAAAAACTGAGATTCGACAATGGGTGAAACAACACCGACCGTGACAATACCACCGACCGCGACAATCATGGAGACACGACGAACCATCTCTCCATACGATCTGAGTGCCGCTGACAACCCTGGTGCGGTGATTTCTCACCCACTCCTGAAAGGCACTAACTACGACGAATGGGCAATCGGTATCAAAACCGCTTTATGCTCTAGGAAGAAATTTGGGTTCCTTGATGGATCCATCCCTCCTCCAAGCGACGACTCTTCTGACCTTGAAGATTGGTGGACTATCAACGCCTTGCTGGTTTCATGGCTGAAGATGTCCATCGATCCAGTTTTGCGCTCCAACATCTCTCATCGAGATGTGGCTCAAGACTTGTGGGAGAATTTGAAAAAACGATTCTCGGAGACAAATGGTCCTCGGATCCAGCAGCTGAAAACAGAGCTTGCTTGTTGCAAACAACGTGGCTTGGCGATCGAGGCCTATTTTGGCAAACTCAACAAGATTTGGGACAGTTTGGCTGCCTATCGTCCTCTACGTTCTTGTACCTGCGGAAAGTGTGTCTGTGACGTGGGAGCCAAGCAGGAGCTTGACCGAGAAGAAGACAAGGTTTATCAATTTCTCTACGGACTTGATGATACCTTGTTCCGCACTGTTCGCTCAAGCTTGGTGTCTCGACAACCCATTCAGCCACTGGAGGAGGTTTACAACATAGTGCGTCAAGAGGAAGATATGAGGAGACAAGGACAGAGCGACGACCAACAAGAAATCACTGCCTTTGCCGCTCAGACCCGTTTTCCTCGGCGTGATGAAAAAGACAAAGGAGTTCTGTGCAAACATTGCAACAGAGGAGGACATCCTTCGGAGAGCTGTTACGCACTGATTGGTTATCCCGAGTGGTGGGGAGAGCGACCTCGTTCTCGCTCAATGCAAACTCGTGGACGTGGGAGTTCCTCTACGACAGGAGCGACGGGTCGTGGTCGTGGTACACCGTCGTTCGCCAATGCTGTGCGAGTCAATGCTTCTCCGACTCCAGAACGTGCTAATCACGTTATCACTGACCAGGACCGAGATGGAGTTACGGGATTGTCGGATGAGCAGTGGCGTGCTTTGGTCGCTTTGTTGAACGGCGGCAAGAACACCACCACTGAAACCCTCACTGGTATGAATTCTCTTCCTTACTGGATATTGGATACTGGTGCATCGCACCATATCACGGGAAATTTCGCAATGCTGACAAATGTTCGAGATATGGCTCCTGTGATAGTCATATTAGCAGACGGACATGAAAAGATATCTGTCAAAGAAGGGACAGTACATCTCGGGTCTGGTCTGATTTTGCAGTCGGTCTTTTATGTTGAAGGGTTTCAATCGGATTTGATTTCTCTTGGTCAGCTGATGGATGAGAATCGGTGTGTGGTTCAAATGGCTGATCACTTCCTTGTTGTTCAGGACCGCACTTCGAGGATGGTGATTGGAGCGGGTAAGCGTGAGGGAGGGACCTTCCTTTTTCATGGTGTGGAGACTGTGGCAGCGGTGACAACACGAACGGCTTACGACTTGTGGCATAACCGTATGGGTCATCAGGCTCCGAAGATAGTGGGTTTACTACCAGCTGTATCTTTTTCTATTTCTTCTGAAATTTCGAATAAAGCGTGTGATGTCTGTCTCCGCGCAAAGCAAACACGAGCTTGTTTCCCAACTAGTTTGAATAAAACAACTTCAATCTTTCAGTTAGTACACTGTGATCTTTGGGGTCCCTATCGCACATCATCTCACTCTGGTGCTCGATATTTTTTGACCATCGTCGATGATTTCTCAAGGGCAGTCTGGCTATATCTGCTCGTTGACAAGACAGAGGCACCTATCCAATTGAAAAACTTTATCAATTTGGTTGAGAGGCAATTTGAGAAACAAGTGAAAACGATTAGGAGTGACAATGGTACCGAGTTTATTTGCCTCTCAGAATATTTTCAAGGCAAAGGAATTGTTCACGAAACCTCCTGTGTCGGAACACCTCAACAGAACGGTAGAGTTGAGAGGAAACACAGACACATCCTTAACGTCGCACGAGCTCTCCGGTTTACCGCCAATTTACCGATTGAGTTTTGGGGAGAATGTATTATCACCGCCGGTTACCTTATAAACCGCACTCCGAATCAACTACTGCAAGGATCAACACCTTATGAACGTCTACACAACTCCGCTCCACCATACGATCATTTGCGAGTGTTTGGTAGCTTGTGTTATGCACACAATCAAGGTCATAAAGGCGACAAGTTTGCTCCAAGAGGAAAACGGTGCATCTTTGTTGGTTATCCCCATGGAAAGAAAGGCTGGAGGCTTTACGATCTTGAGAAGAAAGCGTTCTTTGTTTCCAGAGATGTGGTCTTCTGCGAAACTGAATTTCCGTTTCTTACTCGTACAAAACAGAGGAACGAAGAAGATGATGACTTTGTGGGCTCTAACTTGTCGACTCCAATTTTTTCTCCTATAATCATTGAAGAACCTATAGTTGGGCCCATTTCCTCAGGCCCAGTCATGGCCCAAACAGAAACACCTCCTTCTGATCCTGATACGTCACCGTCTCCCTCACCACCACCAACTCCGCCATCTCCGACACATACCACGTCTCCACCAGTCTCTCACACTACTGTCGACCCTCCCGACGAAAACCTGGATGATTCTGATGACGTTGGCACCTCAACAGTGATACCTGAAAATCCACCTGAAATTCTAGGTCGGGGACACCGCAGGAAGCAAGCGCCGGTGACCCTCCGAAATTTTGTTACCAATGCCGTCAACGTCGCTCTACTTCCCGGCGGAGGTACATCGGCTACTTCTCTTTACCCCATTTCCTCCTATATCACATCATCTCGATTTGCTCCACGCCATCAAGCTTATCAAGTTGCAGTGATAAAAATGGTGGAGCCGAAGTCATATAGATATGCTGTGACTGATTCGAATTGGAGAATTGCTATGGGCTCTGAGATTAAAGCATTGGAGCTTAATCAGACATGGGATCTGGTCGACTTACCTCCTGGAAAGAAAGCTCTTGGGTGTAAATAGGTCTACAAAATCAAACACAAATCTGATGGGAGTATCGAACGGTATAAAGCACGATTAGTGGTGCTCGGAAATCATCAAAAAGAAGGAGAAAACTACGACGAAACCTTTGCTCCAGTTGCTAAGATGGATACGGTTCGATTGTTCTTAGGCGTAGCTGCAGCAAAGGGATGGGATGTTCAACAGATGGACGTCCATAACGCCTTTCTCCATGGTGATCTCAACGAGGAGGTTTACATGAAGTTGCCTCCAGGATTCAAGACAGCAGATCCAACAAAGGTGTGCAAACTTCGAAAATCTCTTTACGGTCTCAAACAAGCACCGCGCTGCTGGTTCGCCAAACTGAGTACTGCTTTGAAAGAGTATGGTTTTAAACAGTCTCTCTCTGATTACTCACTTTTCACTTATGAGCGACGAAGTGTCAAGGTGAATTTGTTGGTTTATGTTGATGATCTGATTATCTCAAGTAACACGGCAAAATCTATGAAGTTTTTCAAGGCCTACTTGTCATCTTGCTTTCACATGAAGGATCTTGGTCAACTTAAGTACTTTTTGGGGATTGAGGTGGCCAGAAACTCAACCGGCTTTTACTTGTGTCAACGCAAGTACACATTGGACATTATCAATGAGGTGGGGTTGCTTGATGCTAAACCGTCGACATTTCCGCTAGAACAGAATCACAAGCTAGCTTTATCCACCTCTCCAATACTTAGTGATCCCGAGCGTTACCGCAGATTGATTGGGCGTCTTATCTACTTAGCGGTAACGCGTCCTGAACTCTCCTACTCTGTTCATATTATGGCTCAGTTTATGCAAGTGCCGCGACAAGCTCACTGGGATGCGGCATTACGCATAGTTCGTTATCTGAAACACAATCCAGGACAAGGGATTTTGTTGAAAAGCTGCTCAGATTTAAAGATTAGAGGATGGTGTGACTCGGACTATGCTGGTTGTCCTCTATCAAGGAAGTCTCTTACTGGCTACTTTGTACAATTTGGTGATTCTCCAATTGCTTGGAAAACCAAGAAACAGAAAACAGTGAGTCGGTCTTCTGCAGAAGCTGAGTACCGTGCAATGGCTCATCTCACCTCTCAGCTTATCTGGATGAAGAGAATTCTTATTACACTTGGAGTTCCTCATCCCGAACCAATGTCACTGTATTGCGACAGTAAAGCGGCGATCCACATCGCTACTAATCGAGTGTTCCATGAAAGGACAAAACACATTGAAGTTGACTGTCACTTTGTGCGTGATGAGCTCCTAAAAGGTACCTTGCAAGCTACACATGTCTCTACACATTTACAATTAGCTGACATTTTGACAAAAGCGTTGGGTCGGCGAGAATTTGTAGAATTTCTTGGCAAGTTGGGCATTATGGACCTTCATACTCCAACTTGAGAGAGGGTATTGGCATCAATGTCATATCACGTTGATTAAGGAGTATAATTGATACTATCTTGACTGAATATTATCTCATTACGTGTGATTGTAATACTTTAGGAAAGTAGATACGTTTGTATGAGTATATATGTATGTCGAGACACAAGAATGAGATATACAGAAAATTCTTCTATTCTTCTTCTCTTCCTCTGTTATCTTTTAATTATTCTGTCGTGGTACTGGCGGGAGAATACTGTGGGCTTTTCCACGTCAGCTGTTTTGGATGGAAGTCAAAGGTTTACAAGAGCTGCAACCCTCTCTGGTCAAATATGATATCACCAAACTCTGTTTCAACTCTGCTGGGAACATTGTCATCTTCTGGAACGCGCAGCCTCAAGGTCCTGAGAGTTTTGAGCTTTGGTCTGCCGAGATTTCCGTCGAGGATGCTGAGGTTTCCGTAGAGGGACACACGGTATACCAGATGTGGGGAAAGATTGAGTGGTCCGCTGCTGTTTTAAAACCTGATCCTCCTCTCTTACACTCATGTGGCGTTGAGGTCTTGTTTGCTGGTTCTGTCTTTGCATAGATTATGTATAAGTATAATCCTTCCTTGTTGAGGTCTTGTTTGCTTGTTTAATGATATACACTAATGACTTCATGGTTTGTATCATATGTTGGTAAAAAATGGATATGCAAAAATTTGATTGTTCTTCAAAATATTATTTTATCTAAATGCATAAATAAATAAAATTAACAAAGAGGTAAGAATCACAGAATTTTAACTTTAGGACAAGAGGGTCAATTTAAGGATTCAACTTACATAATTAATCTACAATCTTTATTATAGTATTAATTGAGAAGTACATGAAAAATTTATGACCAAAAAACCAATTTAGTTATGAAGAGAGTGTATTATGTACCGATGTGTATTATGTAAACTCTGTTTCTCCGATTTGGATTCCCGAGTTGGTCTAGAAGCAGAGGCTGTCGACAAAAAAAAAATGTTTGACAACATATTTAATGAGGGTCAATTTAGTACATTGTAATGTTTGAATACAATAATAAGAGAAAAAAGCTATTTGGATAAAAGAATAAATGGAAAAAATTGTTTGGATACAAGAATAATAACTTAAAGCAAACATTTGGTTTAAAAAACTTCCGTTTTCCAGTTCTTAAAAATCTGCAAAAAAATAAAACTTAACATAATCTAACGATTTTCTATTGATTTTGGATTTTCGGGTTTAAAGTTTTTTTTTTTAATTTTAATTCGAGTTCAGTTCAGGTTTCTTTTAACACAACAAGAGTTAACGATAACACCAAAATAACATCATAATAAAAAACAAAAGATACGATAACATCATTCTTCCATTGCCCAATGCATCTGCCCACATACTAGATGCTATCATGTTTCTCCAATTGTTCGCATATTCCCTTTGTTGAGATTCAAGAGTGCCTACGTCTCCATTATCTTCAAAAATGTTTACTTCTTTAGGGTCTGTGTTGGGTCACTTCTTCGAGAAAAGCATCTGATCGGCATTCTTTACGAAGAAAATTATGTAATCCAGCACAAGCTAAAACCAATTCTGCTTGCGTCTTAAAAGAGAAAGGAGGAGCAGATTTAAAAATCAGAAAACGAGATTTGAAAATACCGACAATTCTTTCGATAATGTTCCTCAAAGATGCATGGGTTTCCGGGATCACGTCCTTGGCCTCTAAATTCTTGTAGATGATGATAACGAGTACTTCTAAAGGGAGCTAAAAACTTTTGACGATTTGCAAACCCACAATCTACAAGATAATACTTTCCTGAAAAACAATAAACAAATGATTAAAGTCAGTTTCATATACACGAAAATATCTTGTAGTTTTATATGAACCACATTTCTCAACTATATACCATCGGGAACTTCTAATCTGCAAGTGTTCCTTGTTAGAGCATCATTTAAAACTTTTGAATCATGAGCTGAACCTTCCCATCCACTAAGAACATAAATAAATTGCAGATCAAAATTGCAGGCTGCAAGTACATTCTGTGATACAGATCCTTTACGATTCCGATAGCTAGGCACATCATCTTTTGGTATCATGGCAAAGATATGTGTGCCATCAGTAGCTCCAATGCAATCCTATAATGATCAAAATCGAGTTCTCAAATAAATAAGAAAAGGATGATGAAAACATGTGATTGCTTGATTAAAAAATCATAACTGCGTACCTTGAAGTAAGGAAAAAACCTTGTGCTCTCTCTTATTTTTGCACATATTGTGACTCCAGGCTTCGCCATCAAATCTGGTGCTATGGTATTTAGCGCTTTAAAAGCCTTATGAAAATTCTCGCTCGTCGCGAATACCGATCTCTTGAATGTGTCTATTGTATAACAATATTTTGAACTTTAACCAACTGTAAGGAGGAATGTAGCCACCATTTCTTCAACGCATATATGACGGGTATCTCGTAGACATGTCTTCATTCTAATAAGAACACATAGCTTCTCAAACGACTCTGGATACATACGATATAACGATCGAAAATGTTCATGTTCCTCCGCAAGAGCCTTTTGAATGTAATCATAGCCAATATCCGTAATCGGTCGACGAACAGGACGTTCAATTTGGTTGGCACTCTTCGTAGATGCTCTTGCTATATTATCCAACATTAGTAGCATAATGTCCAAATCTGATTCGTCATCTTCCATTTGGTTTTCTTCTTCTTCGTGACTTTTTTCCATGCCAAACCTGCAACAAATGTAATGTTTGTAAACAAAAACGTATAAGAACATCACATGTTAAAAATACAATATTATGAGGAGACGTAAAGCATAAAGAAACTCAAAAAATCAGAATCACATTATACGAACTGTGACAAGTTAAAGATCAATCCAAATCTATTTTTTATAAATAAAGATTTTCAAAACAAAGTCTGAAATATCACTGAAAAGAAATGACCAAAACTCAAAAACAATATCTCAAATATCACAGAAATAAAGAACCAAAAACTTATAGAGAAAAAGACCAAGTGCAGCTAAAGCAAAGATCACTCTAAGCTAATATTGGTCTGAATCCAACCATAGCGTTCTTCTACGGACATATCTGCAAATACATCATTCATTCCCAAGGAATAGATAAGGGTAACAGCTTTAAATTTGGCACGCTGATCCAAATTGGTGATCCCTTTCATAGCATCCCATACACTGTTTTTCTTTTTCTCTGCTTCTCTTTTTTCAGCTTCTTTTTGTTGTCGTTTTTCTCTTTGTTGTATGATACCAAGGATCTTGTTGCTCACTGTGACCACATAATCATTGTTATCACTCTTCTGCTCCTCTGAATTATTGCACGCTTCCTTTTTGGATCTCTTTCTTGCGACAAGCTTTTCTGCACGACCTCTTCTATGTTTGTCTGAAATGGGTGATGCGTCACTAAGCTCGTCGCCGCTGTCACAAGAAATCAAGTTATCATTCACTTGATTATCACCAACCCGGTAAGTGCAAGCATCAGTACTATCACCCAGTCCAATGGCATTACTACCGGTGGCAGCTGTACCATCAAATATGATTTTCATATCCTCAAACTGGTCGTGGGAGTCATATCGCATGTATTTGTGGTTTGGATGTGCCTGTCAAATTACATTAACATATATAGCTTAGGGTACAACTATGAATTTCTTATTATTATCTAAACTTTTATTTAAAACAAAGACATACCTTAAAATATCCATTCCACACTTCATCAGAAGCTGTAAACATTTTCGTCTCCGGATCCCATCCAAAGCCAGAACTGTTACGTTGAAGATCCAAATAACTTTGGTATTGGCTTTTCAAGTACTTTATTCTACTTTGATAGTGTTTATGGGTTTTGTTGCATCCAATTCTTTCATTGAGCACTGGTAGTATCTTATTTTCCACCGTTACCTTATTCATGTTACCAGATGCATCATGCCATCCGCGTTTAATTCCCTCCACAAGTAGCTCAACCAATACTTTTGTCTTTGCTGGAGTCCATGGACTATATGGACTTTTTTCTTTGTTTTGCTGAGTATCACCTATCGAAAAGATTATGATACAACTGTTTTCACAATTATATGAACATAACCAAATAAAACTAAAAGGTAAAACTACAGCATAACACAACCAAACAAAAAATAGTACACAGAAAAACGTAAAACAAAAAATGGAACTATATATGGTGGCTGAAGAGAAATCATACGAACAGAAGAAAAACTATCCAACATAAAACACATAGTAAAATAAGAGTACAAGCAAAGAGATTACCTGTATTTGGCCAAAGAACAAGATGGAAGACCAATGCAAATAAAAGAAGAATGGTGTTCTTATATGACCACGGCAAAAGAAAGTTAGGAAAATTTATTTTCAAAAATATACTTATTGCCTTATGAAGCAAATTATAGAAGCAAAACGAATTTCACAAGTCAATGACAATCAATGACACCACAAAATATTTGATAAGAATTCATAAAATCAATGACAATCCACAAGAATCCACACAAATTTTTAAAATCTCTAAACTTTCAAAATCCACAAGAATTCTATTCCCAATAACCCCCCCCCTAGCTTTTAGAGAGACGATAGTTAATCTATTTTTTTTTTCTTTTAAGTTTGTGTTTGCATTTATTGTATATTTTTCTTTTTCAGTTCACTTCTATGGTTTTAAAGATTTTAAAACCATTCTTCTGTTAGGTTTTGGTGTTTTGCGAAAATATTTTACCAAGAATTGAAAGTGTTTTATATTATAATAATAAATGTAATTTCTTCACAAGAAAAAAAAAAGATAATATTTGTCATATTTATGCAAAGAGTTTGAATTGAGCAGATTTTGCGACTACTCAAATAATTTGCTCCTTTTGCATACCCAAAAAAAAAAAATTGCTCCTTTTTTCACCTCAAATGACCAAAGTCTCGCAAGTCGCAACCTCTTGATTAACATTCTCGTATTGTAGTCGTATAATATACGCATACAGTAGCCTTTTTCATACTAATTATATTTTTGACCTTTACAGATGAAGGTAAGAAGCGAGTTTTGGTAGCTTCGTTTCCCATTGACATTTTGAATCCATTCTTTCTCTATCGTAACAAGCCACTTTGAGAACTGAGAAGAAGTCTTTTCAGCTTTGGACATCCGATTGCAACGATTGCCTTCAAGAATTCCTGAATCTTCACTTTTACTAGCTTTCTCTTTGCCTATTATGGGTCTGTTCGTTTGTGTATTTGATGCATTTGAATGCAATTTCCAAATGATAGCATCTAGATGCATTTTCAGATGCATGAATTAGATGTTGTTTGTTTTCAAAATAGCTTTTGCATTTAGAAATTGAATTTGGATGTAATGTTTTTCTTTTGTGAATTTGTTAAAAAAATCTAAATGTAAAATCTATCATATAAAAATTGGGATTAGAAAAACACAATTCTACGGTTTTCGTAAAAGCGTAAAAACACGTTTTCCTGTCAAAAACTATAAAATCACGTCTTTCCGCCAAAACCGTAAAATCATGGTTTCCCGCCAAAACCGTAAACTCACGACTTTCCACCAAACCCGTAAAATCACTAATTTCTGCCAAAAAAGTAAAATCAGGTTTTTCTGCCAAAACATAAAATTACGGCTATGATAGAAAATCGCAATTTTACGTTTATGGCGGGAAAACATGATTTTACGGTTTTGACGGGAAAACATGATTTTACGGTTTCGGCAGATAGCCGTAATTTTATGTTTTGGCGGAAAAACGTAATTTTATTTTTTTGGCGGAAATAAGCTGAGATACAATCGGCAGAGTTTTTTCTTTTGGTTTTGAGGTGTTTTGACATGGGTTAATTTGGCAGATAAAATAATGGGGAAAAAACTACACTCAATAGCCATGCTATACACAAAATTAAGTGACTAGCAAAGAGAAAACTTTTTACCCCATTTTCTCCCTAAAAGAAGCGGGAAACTTCTTTTCCCATTTCCCTCTCATTTTCTTCACCCTAATTATCGCAAGCTGGCGATTAGATTCTAGCGCTGAAGATTTCCTAAAAATTAGTCTTCAATCATGATTTATGTTTATCAATAATTCTGAACGTAATTGATAAAACTATATTGCGATCGGATTAATTTGAGTTACAAAAGTATGTTAGTCAATTTAAGTCATTTAGTATTGTTACATATCTTTACAACTCTGAATCTTTCTGTATTAAAATGGAACAAAATTTATAATACAGTAGAATGATTGATAAACTGAATCCAAATCTAAAATAACAAATTACAAAATCGAAGATCTTAAGCTTTTTTAACTATTCTCAATTAAAATAGTATAGTACATGATTTCAAATAGTATAAAACATGATGTTATCGCCATCGCCGGAGACCCGTTCTCGAGGACTCCAAGATGCACACCACATAGATCTAGTCGGAACAATACCCTGTAGATCTAGTCGAACCACACCCCATGGAAGACCTCCGTCCAAAGCCGCCAAAACCGTCGAGCAAACGAAAGCAGAGGTAGAGAGACAACCGGAAACCTCAACAGAGGAGAGCGCCAAGACACCACTCCCCTCTCCAAATCAAGCCACACCGGAGAACGACACCACCGAGTCCAAAAAGAGATTCAAAAGTCGAAGAAGCGCCGCCGCCGCTGCGGGAAACAGAGCCACCGCAAAGAGCGGAAAGAGGATAAGATGAAGGAGAAGAAAGAGCCTCCCCCGGCGGCGGATGATAGATTTCCCTGCCGTCCAAACCAATCGCAGATCTGAGTACATATATGATGAGAAATCTTTGATTTCGCCTCGAGCCGAAGGAAAGACGAAGACTTTTTCTGTAATTGAACATTTTTGCAGCAGGCTCACTCCCCAACAAAAAATTAACCTAATTTTCAAAATAAAATAAAATTTAACCTACGAGGACTAAGTTGGGAATAAGGTAGAATATACACCATATATTCTAGCCATGGGTTTCCTATTGCTATTCAATTAATTATGCTCCGTAATATGGTCACTCACTACAATTTCCCTTTTGACATTCTCACTACGAACGTCTTTTTTATCTTCAGCTTTCATAAAACTTTTTGCATGCTTTCTAATATTTCAGACTTTTGTGTTATCCTATTTTATTTTTCTTACAATTTCCCCCTTCTCGATACTTTAATGTCCGTCTAGCTTGATGTTACTTGCGCAGTACGTTTCTTAGGAGGTAATATTGGTTCCAAATATTGAATTGTCAACTGCGTTTCTGTGATATCAGCTTTTGTGAAACATAAGAAATTTGGATTCTCAAGCCTTTTAAAAAAAAAGAAAATATTTGGATTCTCACGGCTGACTTTCCGACTAAGATTCCATCTAATACTAACCATGTTTACGCAACTGTTAGTCTTTCCTAAGAGGGTATGTTAGAGTAGCGGACAGCTTCTCATCGGTTCTTTAACTCAAAAGAAAATAAAAATTGAAAATAATTACCTATGTGGCGAGTTCAAAGCCCAGATATGTCTCTCCCGGCAGAGACTGTGGAGACGGTTCTACTCTTCACGTGTCGCGATGACAAAACTCGCGATAATTTTTTTGACGAGATTTTTTTTCTTTCTTTCTTCCTTCTTTCTTCGTCTTCGTCTTCTCCTCATCAATCAATCCAGCTTTCTTCTTCTCTTCGATTACTTCGTTAATCTGCCACAATCAATCCATTCCGGCGAGGCAGTCTCTCCGACCGGCGGAATCAGAATCAGAACGAAACTAGAATCGAGATCGAGCGCGCGGAAGAGTTAAAGCGAAGAGAAAAATCAGAATCTCCTCTGGATCCACGGCGGAATCGATTCGGAAAGGTTCTGGAATGGAGATCGATGTTCGAGAGAGTCTGGAAGTTACATGCATGATGTCGGACTCCGGTGAGAAATTTGATTTTGACGCCAATTTTCTGTTTTGGAAGAGAAAATCTGTTGCGATGTTGGTTCGTTTAAACTTTCCGGTGTTGATTGTTAAGTGAGATAGTGAAGAGTCTCTCATATATAAGCATTAGATTTCTATCCATTTTCAATTGTAGTCTTACTGATGAATTTAGTTCATAATTTACCATTGGGAAATGAATGATTTATGATAAGTTTTCCTTTAATAGCGACATAGAGATAAGTTTTCATTTGATTCACAAATGTTTTTCTAATAATTGATTTCCTATAAACATGTTTCTTGTTGTAGTTCTGTGAGAAAAGAGTGGACTGATGAGAAGCAGATTTTATATCTTAAATCCATGGAAGCTTCATTCGTGGACCAGCTTTACAATTCCCTCGGCGCGCTCGGTTCGAATTCCAACAAGGAGAATGTACGGCTCGGTGGCTGTAGAAAAGCTTGTGAAGAACAGGTATTGACACATTTTCTCTCTGTTTTTTTTCTTACAAAGTTTAGTCTCCGGGAACATCGAATTTAGTCGTATATTGTGTTTTTTGCTATATTAGTTCAAGGTTCTTCTGTGATGGTTTCTGGCAGAAGATGAATGTAAAACAACCTGAATACCGCGGCGGCGTCAATGGAAGACGAGGCGGTGGTGGTGGCTCTCACGAGTTTCTTAGGAGTCCGTGGATCAAGCACTACAAGCCTTCGCCGAAAATCGAGATTCTTGTAACGGATGAGCTCGAGAACCAAGTGGTTAGCTCGAATGGGAAGAAGGGAATAGTCATTTGCAGCTCAGGGATATTATGGGAAGGATGGTCCCATTCGCGTGACCGCGATCAAATCAGCATCGGAGAAGGTAATATTACTTAGTGTTATTCCTCTCTTGTGAAGTTTTGTTTTCTTTTGTAAGTTTGTAGAACTGATAGTGTTTTGTGTTTTCTTCAAAAGCAGATATATCTGATCAGAACTTTGTCAACGAAGTAACGAAAGGCGAGAACGGAAGCTCCAAGAAGATGAAGACAGTGATGAACGTATCATCACCTTCGTCGGGTACTGATCAGGTAACTTCTCCCACTAATTTAATGATTTTCATATCACCGAATATGACGAGTTTTTTTGATCTAAAGTATTGTCTTGTTTCATTGGTATTATAGGTTGTTCCACTCAGAAAAGCTCCTGCAAACATGACATGAATTGAAGTGGTCGTTGAAGATGGTATATGAGAGGAGAATTTTGTAATGTATAGAATTTCAATTAGTAAAAGTTTTTTTTTAAAGAAACAACAATGAGTTCTCCATTGTGGTGTTTAAATTTTGAAAATCCTTACCAAAACTCTACACTTAAAAAATTAATACTTTTATTATAAAATAAGTTTAAAGAGCTCCTGGAGCTCTGATGTGGAGTCAGGTTTTACCAAACTCCTAGACCTCTGCAAGTGCACAGATCGCGGAAGTATGGGTATCGAACACAAGGACTGGCTATTGAGTACACTTTGAACTATGGATTTTGGATCAAGCTAAAACAAAAGTATGATTGAGGTTGTAATGGTGAACCGAACTAGCAAGTATAACGAGGTTGTAAGCAATAAAGGAAAAGCGCTAGGTCATAGGGGCTATCGCAGAGAAGCAAGCAATGATCAATGAAACAATGATAGATTAATTGATTAGGGATATTGGGATATTAAGAACCATCTAGAACACAGATCACGAATATAAAACCATTCCACTTTCGAGGCTCCGGCTCCTTTGCTAATCTACCTAGTCGCTAAACTTTTGGTATGTCCCTAGGTGATTAGATCAAGCATTAGAATGAATAGGTTCTGATACAGTTCACTAGATATAGATAGATCAACTTTCGCAGTCTAAGAAACCTAGCTTGTCAAAGAATATGTCCGGCGAATGATACAGCACTGTCGAGGCTCAAATCAACCTAAGATCGGATTACTAGATGCGCGGTAAAGCAATCAGCATTAGTTAAGTGCACAAGACGAGACAAAGACTCTAATATAATCCCTAGCTAATCATTGAAATCAAAGATCATGCAAGCAACTCATTGAATAGTAACCCTAGCAACCTAACTAGTGGATTACTCAGACATGATCAAAGCAAACACACATAGAGATGAAGAAAACATGATTGCAATAAAACTTAGAGTAGGAAATCGAAATACAGGGCGGCTCTCTTTCTCAAGAGGCTAAAAATCCATATATATAGTGCTAGGTCTTTCTAGAGGCGGCTAGGGTTAAGCCGGGCTTGAAAACATAAGTTTGGGCTTCAAAAAGGGCTTCGGGTCGACCGCGGCGTTGGGACGGTCGGTCGGGACGATCGGCCGGACAGTCGGGTCGTGGGCGAGTCGGAACGGTCGGGGTCGGACGGATTCGCGGTCGGCCGGCGTGGTCGAGCGGATGAGATTTGGCCGATGAATTCTCGGCCGGACGTGGGACGTTCTTTCCCGGCTCGGACGGATGCATCGGCCGTGGTACGCGAACGGGTTGCGCGGCCGCGAGGCTTGTTTCCCGGCTCGCGCGCTTTGGTCGTGCGCGGCGTGGCGTGGAGCGTTGAAGCTTGGCCGACCGCGGGACAATGTTTCCCGGGTCGTGTGCGTGATCGGCCGGTCGGTTTGGACTTTGGCCGAGACTTCAGTCGGACGGATGTGACTTTGGCCGAGCGCGGAACATGTTCCTCGGCCAGCCGGACTGCGCGGTTTGGGCGCTGTTCTCTCGATAGAGCCGTCTGGACAGTCTTCACTCTTTTGGTTATAACTCCTTTTCTACTCATCCAAATGAGGCCATTCCAATTGCGTTGGAAAGTTAACTCAATCAGAGCACGCAGGGAACTGGTCTTGATGAAATCCATTGAGTAGATCTTTTTCTGGGCCCTCTTAAAGTTGGTGCTTGTGCATGGAGCTGCTTGAAGTGCAAATCCTATGGTTTTGCTCCAAAATGCATCATTTCACCTGTTTAGACTCTAGACACTATAAACACAGTAAAACTACCTTTTTAGATAGAAAACCTGCCAAAAACCATTAGAAAACAATGCTAAAACAGTATAAAAAGTGGGTAAATTAGAGGTATATCAACTCCCCCAGACTTAGATCTTTGCTTGTCCTCAAGCAAAAAGAATCTAAATCCGTGAAAGAGGTTTGAAAACGTGGAAGCTCCCTTGCTCTTTTGAATATCCTGTGAAAGGTTCCTTTCCTGTATTCCACTATGAACATAGACAACATAAGGTTAGCTTCACATACACCCTGCAAGTTTAGCGAACAATACCAACCCAACTAGTCTCATCCAGCAATCCAAACTCTCTATTGCTAACCTCTTGCATAAATTTAAAGCGTGAATTCTTTATCAAGGGGACATCGATCAATTGAACTTGTTCTTACCCACTTGATCCAAGATTGCCTCTTTAAGTGCAATGAGTTCTTTTCCTCTCTCTTTCTCACATCAGAACTTTGAAAGGTCAATTTCTCCCTACTTTTCTAGGGTATCATTTTATTTTTTCTATTGACCCTTCTTTCAACCACAGGATAAGTCTTTAGCTTGTTCCTTGTTTGACTAAGGTATTCCATAAGACATGAAGGTACAGACATATGCATTCCTCATGCTTACTTGTTGTCCTTGTGCTCTTTGAGCTTTTTCTCATAACATTACTTACCATTTGGGATGGGAGAGAGAGGAGAACTCTTTAAAGATTAGACAAATCTTATTGAAAATCAAGCAAGGAACTGTCGACATGTATGCCAACCCCCTTGACAAGAGTAATTAAGATTGATTAAGTGTGAGGTTAACTCTAGATTGCTTGGTTACCTTAGAAATTTTGCTGAGCTAGCATGTCGATCCACTGTAAGAGCTTCTGTTAGGCTTGTGCCTTTAGCTGGTTTCTGCTCTAGGGTCATGGATTGTTAGCATAACACTCTCAATTCTCAAAGCAAGTTCATAACTTCCGGACTGGTTTTTGACTCAATAAAACTTTTTGAAAAACATGAAACAAAGTGAATAAAACATAAGAAAAGAAAGAAAAATGCATTAGTAACACAATAAAACTCCCCCCAGACTTAACTTGCACCGTCCCGGTGAAAGCAAATCACATTAAGGTGAGAGGTAATATTCAAAGTAAAAGAAAAATAAAGAAAAATTCATTAAAATAAGATAGGGATAGAAAATGGAGATTTGTAAGTGTCCATTGCACTAAGTACCACTTGAGATGACTATGTGTGGCAGTGAGAAGAACTCTCTTCCTCATCTATGGGGTCATCGCCTTCTGAACCAAGCTCTGAGTCTAGTGAGAACTCACCAAGGTCAGGCTCATATGGCTCTCTAGCGGTGGAAGAAGGGCGAAAGAGTCTCTCCGGTGCAATGTGGCGAACTACGCGGACTAGGCGCGAGATGAAGCGAGATTGGCATTCCACTATCTTCTCCAGCTTGTTAACACGGTCTAGAGCCTGGTGCGCAGCCATGCCAGTAGTGAGAACATGGCGTTCTTGGATGCGGCGTTGAGTCTTGACTGCATGCTGAAGTGTGCGATAGGTGAGCATGGGGAATGATGGTTTCTCACTTGATGGAACATAGAACTCTTCCTCATTGGGCTGGAAAGTGACAACTCCTGAGCGTAGGCTTGGGATGTCCTCATGTGGCAGCAAGACAAGGGAAGTGTTGGCTGGACCAATTGGAAACTCATAGCAAAACCGAGTTGGGTCTTTAGTCCAACGGTTTAGGAAGTGGATGTGCTGAAGAGCATGGAGATCCAAAGGGGTTGGCTTGGGTAGTGGCTCATAGTTGGGAATGTCAATCCCCACATGCAGTACTATGGCCGTGATAAGCCTCCCAAAACGAACACAAAGCTTCTTGTTGCCTTCCAAGTCTTGAGCTAGCTTCCTCACATTGATGAATGTCTTGGCAAGTAAAAGTCCAAGGTTGGCCTTGTACTCATGCTTGATGAATGGTGTGGTGAGGATGTAGAACTCATCAGTTGTGACCTTGTTGGCTTCTTGTTTGCATTGGAAAGTGGTGGAGATGAGGCGGTGCACATAGCGAATGGCTGGATGAGTGATTCTAGACACCTTTGACCTTGAAGGCAAGAATGGTTCATTGGCAAAGTGTGTCCAATCAGCAAAGGCAGCTTGTTTCCTCTTTGAGTTCTCCTTGAAGTCATGTGCTGTCTCATTGGGAAGTCCAAAGAGTTGGCATAGAGCTGAGATGGAGATGCGCCCATTGGCATCGCCTATCTTGAAGAGTAGGAGTCCTTCACCAGCTGGTTGGTCTCCATTGTGGTTGGGAAAGGCAAGAGCTACTGTAGAGAGGAACTCCTTGGTGAGTTGTGAGTACTCACTACATTCTAGCTTGAAGAGCTTGCTCAAGCCTAGCTTCCTTATGTACCATGTGACATCATCTCTTATCTTGAGAAGATCAAGGGTTTGGGTGTCCATCTTCACACATGGCTCGATGTTCACCTTCTCCATTGCCTTCTTACACTTTCTTGGGTCTTGATTTTGTTCTCCAACAAAGGTTACAAGTGCCAATCATCTTCTCCTCTCTTGGACTCTCCATCACTGTTCTTGATTGCATCAATGGAATGTGGTGAAGTTGTTTCTGCTCTTGCATTGGAGCTACTACTCCCTAGCTTGATTTGCTTCTTTGGTGGTTGCATGAATGGGTTCTTCTTCTTCATACTCTCATTTCCTTTTGTCTTTGCCATTGTGTACCTACAAGAGCAAATTCTTGGGAAGAAATATGAGTTTGTGATTAATGCAAAAGAAGAATAAGCTAATTGAGTTGCAATAATGATATGGAATAAAGGAACAACTCAAGGCTTAATCATGAATCAAAGAGACAAAATAGAAATTTCACTTTTTCAAAATTAATTTTCGGATTTTACTGTTCATCCCAAGATTATGGTGCTTAAAATCAAAATTTTCAGCAAATCAAGAGAAATTGAGTTTCTAATCCAAGTAATCACTAGATAAACTAATGAATTGAAGTATGCCTAAGCAATTTCACCTTTGAATAAGGGGTTTGGAATGCCCAATAAGTTTTGTGAAAAACTATTCAATTGTGAAATTAAACTTCAAATTAACTCTAAACCATCTAGGTTCCACCTAGCAAAGTTCATTACAAGACTATAAGGATGCTAATTTCAAGTCTAGACAAGAGTTTAGACCAAACATGAAACTTATTGAAGATTTTCGATCTTGCATAAACATAGGATTAGAGTTAGAAGACATACCTTGTGTGTTGAAAAGTGAATAAGGTTGCAAGAGCAAGTAAATTCCAATTTAGAGTTATGAACAGTAAAAGTTTTGAAATCAAAACTCTTAGAGTTCCTCTAATGGAGTTTAGGGTTTTGGAGAAGAAAGAGAGGTTCTTGTGGTTTTCAAGGGAAAGGTGAAGTAAATAAGATCTAATCCTATCAATTTTCCTTTTCAAATTCGAATTTTGATTGAAAACCGGTTTAAGTTGGTTTAGATTGGTTAAAACCGGTTTGAATTAAATGAAAAGGGGACTTACCTTGGCCTAGAAAAGTTTTGGGCCGATGGCCGATGGATTTGTCGCGGTCGAGCGATTTGGTCGGCCAAATTTTGTTTGGCCGAGAGATTTCGGCCGAGGCCGATCGTATGTTTCCCGGATCGACCGGCACGGTCGGTCCGTTCCGATACGAAAATTTCGGCCGATCGCGGCCTAAATCTTTCCCGGTTCGTGCGTGTCGCGCGAACGGTTTCTGTCGCGCAATGGAGTGATCCGGCCGAGCACGGCTTATTCTTCCCGGCTCGACCGTAACGGTCGGCCAGAATGAGAATTGCTCGGCCAAAATCACTTTTGCGCGTCCGCGGCCAATGTTTTGGCGCGGATTGTGTTTTCACACCTTTTTCTCCTTCTATCCTATCTTAAAACAAAGAAAACACAAAAGCAAAACAAAAACTAAGAAATTTAAAGAAAGAAAAGTAAAAGTACCTCATGGGTTGCCTCCCATGCAGCGCTTGTTTTAAGTCTTTAGCTTGACTGTAAGGCTTGGCGCTCAGGAGAAGATGGAGACAAGAGGCATCTTTGATCCTCCAAGTCTTTTCTCCTTGCAATGAGTATCTGGTGGGTGATTCACAGCTGGATAGACAATCTCTCCATGAATGTCCCTTGGCACTACTGCCTTAGGAAAAAGCTTTAGAGTTCTTGTCACTCTCTCCTTGAATCCTTCTAGATTCTCATCAATAAGCTCCTCTGGGAATAGAAGCTTCATGTTGCGGCCAGACCTAGGTTTTCTAACCTTCCTTCTTGGCTTGGCCTCAACTTCAATCTTGGTTGATCCCTTGGGCGGTTTTGGTGTAGGGGCCTTAGTCTTACTCCTTGCTTGTTTGGCAAGCTGCTTGGGCTTAGGAATGGGATCTTCCTTGATTGTTTCTTCAGTTTCTCCTCCTTGGGGTGGCTTTAAAGTAGCTTTCTCCTCTTGGACCATGTCAACAAAAGAGTTCTTTGTTGAACACATAGGGAAGAACATACCCTTGTTCACCTTGTTGAAAGAGATTCTTTGATTGGGGAAATCAAATATGGCACCCACAGTAGACAGGAAAGGGGTTCCAAATATGAGAGGTCTATGGCTACTCTCTCTCATTTCCACAATCTGGAAATCAGTAGGATAGAGCAATTTCCAATCTGCACCATCACATTAGGCACAAAGCCATAGGGGTTTGTGAGAATGAATCAGCATAGTTGATGGAGATGGATGATGGCTCTATCTTGGTGAGGCCTATCTTGTCAGCTATCCTCTTAGACATGATGTTCACATTGGCTCCTGTGTCACACAAAGATTGCTCAAGAATGTTACCTTTGATGATACAAGGCACAACAAACTTTCCTGAGTTATCTGTCTTGGGGATAATCTTTGGGAAGAGTCTTCTCTTTCTAGCTCGATTGGACTCTCTCTCTGGGTAATTCTCTTCAGGCCAAATCATGCAATCAACAGTAGGTTTTGAAAGCATCCATTCTGGAACTTGGTCTTCAAATCTTTCTTCTATGGCGGCTGAGTTGCAAAAGGACTTCTTGGATTCAGCTTCCTGTCTCTTAACAGCTTCCATAGTTTGAGTGACTTGAGTCTCTAGTTTCTTCACATGAGTGGCAACAGCATCATACTTGGTGTTGAGATTGCTGAACAAAGTGTCCATCTTCTCATACATCTCTTTAGTGTTTCTCTTCTGGCCATCCATGATCTGTTGGAGGATTCCTTCAAATCTTCCACCTTGTTGGTTTGGAGGAGCTTGATTTGGTGAAGAAGCATATGGCTCCTTGGGCGGATATGATGTCTCTGCTCATATCCTTGCCTTGGCTGAAATTGACTTCCTTGAGATTGGTAAGGAGGTCTTTGTTGTTGTGGATACCTTGGAGGATACACTTGGTCTTGAGGATTCTCCACATTGGGGTTTCTATAAGACATGTTGGGGTTTGGGCGATAGCTTGGATTGTATCCCTTGTTCCCATAGTTTCCAATGTAGTTCACATCTTCTTCATTGGCTTCATTAGAGAAATCTCCCATGCATTCTCTTGATGGGTCTTCATTAGCATCACTCATCCCTTCTATTGCATTGATATGCTTGAGCTGTCCCTTA